CTATTCTAGGCCTCACTGACAGAGCAATATTATGGTGCCTGTACAGGTACTATTTCAGAAGAAAAGTATATGTGTACTGCTTTGTAAATAATTGTTAAGCTTTGATAATCCATATATAATGAGACTTTCCAAAAGTTAATCTTCATTTTGATATAATTCACATTAATAAATGAAGGATGATGTGACGCAATACTGCTGGCCCGGGGTCAACTCTGAGTCGCAATGTGAAGCTGGGATACCTCTCCTACCAGCGTTTTGAGGTTAACTCTTAGTCGCTGCCACCAATGTGACCCAGTCAACCAACAGTCATCGCTACCCCATAGGATCCTTTGGTCAGGGTACCAAATGGGATGGTCGGTCGATTCTAATGGTTTTACACCAGATGCAACCGGTCAGACACCAGCTCCGTCATTCTCAGCCCACTTCCAATGACTGGTTACTGAAGTAACTACTTCAATCTCAAGTCTAACCTACTCACGTTGTGATTTGATCTTAGGTAGATGAGATCAATCAAACATCGGGTCATAGTGTAAGATGAGTCTAAACTAGAGGGGATGTTGCACAAATGTAAAAAAAAAAAAAGAATTAAATAAAAACCCAAAAGATTTGGTTATGTTGAAAGAAAGCAAATCAACTTTTATCAGTCTATTCTATACAGGAGTATGCGTTATTCCCAACCCGTTTCTTGGAGAGTGACACTGTATATTTCTGGCAAGTTCTGGTTTTCTAAATCAACTGGTTTAGTTTTTAGGTGCTGGCTTAGCTTTATTCGTCAGTATAACTTGCTGTTTCATAGGGAGGCAAAGTCAAAGATAGGAAGTCATGGAATCTCTCAGTCAGCTTCTGCGAGGCAACTTGAACTTACTGAAACTCACTGGAACTGACTGGCAAACCGAGGACATCGACCAAAAACCTGTGGGGTTCTTGTTAATTCCCGATTTCTGACAATGGACCTCTTTATTGTCTAGCTAGGAAAATTGATTACTTCCCATTTTTGGAGTGATCCCTTCATCCATGAGTAGAGGTTGCAGGATAGCTATCCTCCTAAACTCCCTCTTTCTCACATTGGTACCTCATATCAAATCCTTTCGGTGAGCATTAGTAATTTCTCTTTCTTACCAATTTACCTCCACCTATCACCATTGCTACTACTCGACCAGTGGCATCTCAGTCATGTGGGTGTGTGGATAAGCTTGCTTCATTAATTAACCCTTTGACATCCCCGTTTATTCAAGATTTCTGAATTCCAAAATTATTAACATTGTAAGTCGAAAAAAGGGAATTTCATAAACAAACAACATATGGCCCCCATGGCTTGGCCAACTTCTAAAATCTGGCAATTTTAAATGATATCTCGGGCGCTCTTTGGCTATCTCGTGTTTTCTTTACAGTTATCATAAAAGCTCGCCACATGGCATTTTTTGATTTTATCATTTATGCCAATCCTCAGTTTCTTGGGAAAGTAAAAAAAATAAAATCTTTCCATAGTGAACGCATATCTCAGAACATCTCCTCATACCAAAAAATTCTTACAATCAACATATGGCCTGTTGCCTGGCCAACTTCTAAAATCTCGCGACTTCCAATGATATCTTAGACACTTTGTGATTCTCGTGTTTTTCTGAACCAATACTTTTACAAACATCATTAATCAATTGCCAAAAGCTTGCCATATGGCCTTTTTGTGAATCCACTGTTTACACAAGTTCTCGGGGTCTTGGGAAAAGTAACTTTTTGGGAAATAAAATCTTTTTAACATCGAACAGTACATCTTTTGGGATAGCTTCTTTGCATTCTCAGTATTTCTTGTTTAATTTTTATGGTTAATTAGTCAATTACCATAGCTAAATAGTGTCACATGAAAACAATGTAGAAATTCAGGTTGCCTTTTATTTAATCAGCTGAAATTATTATTACACTTTGGAAAATGCACTCATTTACTCTGTGTAATGATGGATTTGATATTTTGTAGATAATATTTTTTTTTGTTTGTTTTTTTTAATTGAAATAATGATTTATTGTACTTCTCTTCAATTAGCTTTCTTAAGAAATCAGATGAAAACAGATTAATGTAATTTCTTTTTTTCTTTCTTACAGTACAAAGATGTAATTTTTGTCTGAATTTCTGGGATGAGGAGTTATCATTATTTAAACTATTTACATGCAGACTATTGTCCTTATCTTTGTTGGTGTCACCACAACATTTCAGCTGTTGTGAATCTGGTGACATAGTAATTGAGTTCAATCCCTTGGCCGGGCAGTGTGTACTGGAACTCAGCTGAAACTGGATAAGCAATAACTGAGCAGTACTAAAAATAAGAACTAGACAAGATATTCCTAAACATGGGCAATGAAATGAGAACAGTCCAACCCTGTAGATTAAATAAAGGCTTCAGTTCAGAATTTCCTGTAGGTTATCCAGATTGCCATATGTGTCAATGGCCGAATTGTGATGAGGACAATAGTCTGCCTGTAAATAAAGACATAATTGTTTGTTCCTACATATCTTTTGTATTAAGATTTATTTTTAAAGACTTGGGTAGACAAATCTAATGAAAGGTACCAAAAGTTAGTGTAATTTTAACTCTGTTTACTAATTATAAAAGAGATGTTATTGCTTGTTTATTGTTTATGAAACAGATGTAATTGCCTGCTTCTATATTGCTTTTGCATGAAATTGTTCTGAACAAATTCTGTTAACTGAGAAGAAAGTTAAATAATTCATTCATTTGAATAACAGAATGATTTAAATTTCCGATGCCTACTTTGTGTTTTCTTATCTTATTGGGTTGAAGATTATTTAATTTTAATGCATTTAAAGTGGGACTTTTTAAAAAAAAAAAAAATATTTTGCTCCAAACAATTTACTTTGTATATTTTCATATTTTATTGGGCTGAAACTTATTTAATACATAATAGGGTTGGATGAATAATCCATAGACTGACCAAGATACTCTCACAGAATTTGACCAAATTAGGTTTATTTTTCAGCATAGTCACTCTTGTGGTTCACACACCTATTTCATCAGTGTTGCAGTACTTGGACCCATTGGTGAAAAGGAATTCATCCTGCTGATGTTAAAAATTGCTGCAAGACATTGTTGATATACTTAAGATGGAAATGATCTTTTATGGTATGTCTCTAATTGTATTTAAATACATTGTATTTATTTTCAATTTTCCTAGCTTAATTGCATCTAATCCATTATTGTACATAATTAAGTTAAAATAAAATTTGTATTTTAGATGAATGCTACCTTATGAAAATTGAGATGCAGTCGAATGGGAGTGATTATTATCATAGATTTGAGGTGCAGGTACAAGACTCTAGCACAAGTGCTGCATGGCTATATCATTTTTGTTTAATCTTTTGCTCCGAGTAATTTATTAGGTTGGTGCAAAAATAATGACGTAACAATGTCGTTTTATGACGTATTTTTTAACGTCAAAAAACAACATTCTTATGTCATTATTTTTGCACCAACCTAATATATATTTCCTGTGCCTTAGAAAATTAAAATTTATAAACAAAAAACTAAAGCTATGACAGTATTTTTTTTCTTTTTTTGAGTTGAATGTCTTTAAGGAAAAATTCTTAGATGAATTACTGATGATAAACTTTCATTTTGTGTTTAAAGTGACTGCTTTTTTCATTTATATATTTTTTTTATCATTACCATCTAAGAAAAATTGAATTTTCTGAATCTGAATGATTCTAAATGCTTTGTGCAAAATAACTGAATACAAACTGAATTTGAAAACTGCTGTTACCCCCACCCATTACATGCCCTGTTTCACATGATTAAAACTTTAACTTTTTTTTTTTTTACATTTCTTTTCCATGTCTACATATTTTTAATTAAAAAAATGTAAACAAAAATTTTGGTTGTCTTTAATTTTACACTCCTTCCTGGTCCTTTTGATTGGCAGTAGAGCTTTCTTGTTCAGGATTGGGTTTCCTATTCCTTCTAAAGACTTTCCATTCTCTTTTACACTCAGTAGCCCTTTGCATTTTAGTGGTATTATTGCTTTACTTGGGGTGAATTGATTAAAAAGAAAAAAAAGCTCCCAATATTCCTTTGTATAGTGTTCTCTATTAAGTGGATGCTGAAAAGTTCACAGCCTAACCAAAACAGGGAAAAAAATTCTGATATTTCGTTAAATGTTTTCAATAGCCACTATGGGGTTGTAATAATTCTGACAAAAGTTCTACTTGATATTACTAATGATAGCCAGACGGTACTTGGCCAAAATGTTGCATGTATAAGAAGATCATTAAGCTGAGAAAAAAAAAAAAAAGCTTAAATAAATTCTAAAATATATTGACAATTACTTGTCTTGAAAATTAGACACAAAATTATCAAAAAGTGGTACAAACCTGCCATGATGACTTAACATGAAAACCATGAATATAAAGGCTCCAAAAATACACTATCAGGATGATAGCATAGTGGATATGAGTTGGTTAAAAATGTGTTACTGTCATTTAGTGGTCATAAGTTCAATCCCTGGATCAAGTAGTAAAACTCTGGTTCAGCAGGAACAAACAATAACTAGCTTCATGGACACAATGCTTCATATCTATCGAATAATGGACACCTGATGATGGTCAGAGTACCTAGCTGAAACATGTATACAATAATATAAGAATCAGTAGTTTGAATGAATTAAAAAGCATATTGGTGATACTAATTCTACTTGACTAAAAAAATAAAATTAGTTTTGATTGAATGATACATTTTCAACAGCTTATCAACCCATTGCAGGTTATTTAAAACCAGAGAATTTTTTTTTTTTAGAGATAATGATGATTTAGTGATACAAGCTTTACTAATTAACCCATAGTTTGTGGGGAGAAGAGGTGGAGTCATACTTTTCCCAAGGGTATTTGCTCGTAAGTGAATATAACAAACCCAACTAGAATTGGTTCTTCGATTAACAATTCCAAGACATTATCCATTATTATCCATTACACTACCCACACATCCAAGCTTATAGTAACTGGTATTCTGAAGTGGTCACCCATCTAGGTACTGACCAGGCTCGATGTTGCTTAATGTCAGTGATCATATGGGAACCGGTGTTTCTGCTTGAAAATTGGTTTTAGTTTGTAATTGAATGTATTATAATTCCGACAGAAAATGTTTCTTTTTATAAGTTTCACATTATAAAAAGCAATTAAAAACACGTGGGATCTTCCACAACAAACCAGCCTTACCTCTTTTTAGGAAATGCACTCTTCCTATCTGGTAAGTAACATCCTACTTTCATGCAAATATAACAAGTATTCATTGGTCAATCACCTCCAATCTAGCTTGCTGATTGGTCAGTTCCGACCAATCAAACCGCCTGCACACGACCAATCTGTTTTCCCGCTCATATGCTGGGAGCCTCACAACCATTATAAAAACCCAACACATGTAAACTCCCTCGAGTTTTCTTTTCATTCATCTCTCTCGCACATCTCATTCCTTGCTACCAAGTGCCAAGATGTAACCTTCATTGCGGTGAGACGTTAAAGACAATTACCAACATTCACAAACTCTAAAATCACTTCTGAACTTTTACCAACTTTAGAACTCACAATTCAAAACTTTATTCTTCTAAATTACAGTTCAATATTACTTCTTCTTAATATGAACTCCGGTACAACTAATACTTAATCAAAGGGACACGACTGTCCTACCTTTTCAGTTCGCATGCATTTACATCAAACATTAATAAATTTAATTGTTATGTTTTGAAATCATTCCGTTCAGTTTTGTATTTTATTCTATGTGCTATTTACGTCAAATATAAATTGCATTGCATCCACGCATTGTCCTTAATCTCATCTTTCCTAGCCAAAGTTAAATATTGGTAACTCAATAACTACAATAATGATGACCATGACGTTCACAACAATAATGGTAATACAACCGCTACATATTTGGTGATCCCGTCGGAAATAAACAATAATGGTAACCCCTATCGCTACACACATACATCAGTTTTTTTTTTTTGCATAAAAAGCAAACATTTTTAAATGCAAAATATAGAAAAATATTTATATCAGAACTTTTCCATTCTTTCTGCTTTCGATTGGTAGAAAAACTCACCATATAAAATTAAGTTTATATTCACAAATTTAAAAAAAAATATTACTCGGGTGTAAAATTTCCACGTTGAGATTTTTTTTTGAGATCCCAAGGAGATCCTTGCTTTGAATATTACTGTCGCATCTGGTCTGGTACTTCTGCTATGTATTTAGAGATTCTTGATAAAATATAAAGAAGAATCTTCAATGCTATAAGTCCTGATCTGGCATCTTGGCTTCAGTCACTTTCCCACCACCATAGCATGTAGCTTCCCTGTGCCTTTTCTATAAATATTTTTATGGAAATTGTTCTCATGATCTATTTCTCTATGGTACCTTGACTATGAATTTAAGTGCATTTTTCAATATAGAAATTTAAGAATTTTATATGAATTTAAGTGCAGTACAAGATTGGTGGTAATGTATCATCATTTTACAGTTGAAATGGCTAGATCTATGCTAACAGTTTTTTCTCTTACACTTCTCGTTTGTGGAACTTTCATCTGGTTTCTTGCTTTCGAGTCAACTTTGATCTTCAAGAATTTAAATGCAATGTCAATCATTATCTTCAGTCTTCTTATTTCCTGTTCTTTTATATTTTACTCTCCTTAATGTTTTTTTTTCTCAACCTTTCACACCTTTGTGTCTTAGTGGCTTTATCGCCTTGCTTGGGCTGAAATGATTAAAAAATTCAAGAGAAACCCAGAAAATTTGCTGACAGACTTGATTTGTCTCTATAATTTCCATATTAGATTATCAAAGAGACACACTAACTAGGGGATTAAAGTGTTACTTAAAAAATATTATATATATAACAGTTCTATGTTCAATCCCTGTGTCTGGTAGTGTTTAAAATTCACTTCTTTTTTTTACTCAACCAAAATGGAATGGCCAAGCAATATAAAATTGAATTAGTAATGATACAAAATATCTTTTTAAGTGTCAAATGAGAATAACCTCACTCTTTAGATTGGATAAAGGGTTTGGTTCAAATCAGCAAGAAAGTTACTGAAGACAGTCAGAAGGTGCAACAGTTGAAACATTGTGTGTATGGCAATCAAGATGAGCATGCTGCTCTAAAGAATAAAAAAAAAATGACAAAAAAAATAAATGACAAAACCAGGAAATATTTTTAGATTGTAAGACCCTTCTTTTTTTTTTAAGTTAATAATAGTTTAGTGACTCAAATTTATTAATTAATCTTAAGCTGGGGGGAGAAGAGGTGGATTTGTACCATTCCCAAGTGTAATTGTGTGTAAATGATTATAACGAATCCAACAAGAATTGGAACTTGGCTCTCCAATTGATAATTTTGAGTCATTATCCATTACACCACCCAAATATCCAAGCTTACAGCACCTGGTATTCCCAAGTGGTCACCCATCAAGGCACTGACCACTCTCAATATTGCTTAACTTCAGTGATCATACAAGAACCAGCATTTGAATGTCACATGGCTATAAACTCCTAGTTGCTCACAGAGATTTTTATAAAATTATAAATAAAATCACTTCAAAAACATGTATAATTAACATCAGGAAGAAACAGTTGAAATTTGTAGGGCACATAATGAGGAAAGAGGGCTTGGAAAATTTGGTTCTCACAAGACAGATTGAAGGTAAGATGGACAGGGTAAAAACAACACACAACCTACTTAGTGAGCTTAAGTAAATGGATGACAGAACAATGTTTAGGAGAGATAAAAGACAAAATTTATTAAGAGCTACAAAGGACAGGAAATTGTGGAGATGCATGATCACCTACATCATGAAGTGACATGGCACATAGAAGAATAGCAACAACCTGAATGCCACTCTTTGAAGGTGTATTTTGAATATAGTTCTTTCCACTGTGCATTTTAATGTCACATTAATTCTGAACACTGAGAAAATGTTGATCCACATATTTCATGAGAATACGGTTTCCCTCTTGTATGTGTTTGCATGTGTGCTTTTAAATGAGAACTTTGTGAAAATACTGATCCACACACGTTACAAGAATAAGGTTTTTCTCCTGTATGTGTTCGTATGTGTTTTTTTAAATCTGAAGCCTGTGAAAATGCTGAGCCACATACTTCACAAGGATATGCTTTCTTGTCAGTGTGCGTCTGCAAATGTCTCATTAAAATAGATTTCTGTGAAAATGCAGAGCTGCATATTTCACAAGAATATGGTTTCTCACTAGAGTGTGTTTGCTCAAGTGTTTTTATATGTGAACTTTGTGAAAATGCTGATCCACACACATTAAAAGAATAAGGTTTTTCTCCTGTGTGTGTTTGAACATGTGCCTTTAAATCAGAAATGTATGCAAATGTTGATCCACATATATCACAAGGGTATGGGAATTCTCCAGTGTGTATCAGCATATGTCTCATTAAAACAGATTTCTGTGAAAATGTAGAAAAACATATTTCACAAGAATACGGCTTTTGTTTAGTATGTGTTTGTGTGTGTGTTTTTAAATGTGAACTTTGTGAAAATGCTGATCCGCACACATTACAAGAATAAGGTTTTTCTCCTGTGTGTGTCCGCAGGTGTTTCTTTAAATCTGAACCCTGTGCAAAGGCAGATCCACACACTTCACAAGAATATGGTTTCTCTCCAGTATGTTTCAGCATATGTCGTATTAAAACTGATTTCTGTGAAAATGCAGTGCTACATATTTCACAGGAATATGGTTTCTCTCTAGTATGTGTTTGCATATGAGTTTTTAAATGTGAACTTTGTGAAAATGCGGATCCACACATATTGCAAGAGTAAGGTTTTTCTCCTGTATGTGTTCGCATGTGTTTTCTTACATCTGATGCCTGTGAAAATGCAGTGTTACATATCTCACAAGAATATGGTTTCTCTTTAGTATGTGTTTGTACATGTGTTTTTAAATGTGAACTTTGTGAAAATGCTGAGCCACACACATTACAACAGTATGGCCTTTCCCCTGTGTGTGTTCGCATGTGTTTTTTTACATCTGATGCCTGTGAAAATGCTGATCCACAGACTGCACAGGAATATGGTCTTTCTCTAGTATGTATTCGTACATGTTTTTTTAAGTATGCACCCTGTGAAAATGCTGATCCACATACTTCACAAGAATATTTTTTCTCTCCAGTGTGTATACGCATGTGTATTTTTAAATATGAATTCCTGGAAAATGTTGATGCACACACTTCACAAGAATATGGTTTCTCACTAGTATGTGTTTGCTTGTGAGTTTTTAAATGCGAACTTTGTGAAAATGCTGAACCACACACATTACATGAGTAAGGTTTTTCTCCAGTATGTGTTCGCATGTGTTTTTTTAAATCTGATGCCTGTGAAAATGCTGATCCACAAACTGTGCATGAATGTGGTTTGTCTCCTGTGTGTATTAACATGTGTCGCTTTAAAACTGAAACTGATGATAGAGACAGTCCACAAACTGCACAAGAATATGGTTTCTCTCCAGTATGTGATTGCAAATGAGCATTTAAGTGAGTGATCTCTGAAAATGTTGATCCGCACAATCCACAAGGATGTGATGTTTTTCCTATTTGTTCCTGCATGCGTGATTTTAAATATGAAACCTGTGAAAATGCAGCTCTGTACAGTTTAGAATGTGATTCATCTCATGTTTGCTTGTGTGTCTTTAAATGAGAAATCTTAACATTTTATATCAACACTCTTTAGAAATAAAAATCAGCAAAAATGTAAATCAGCCCAGTTTGCAGCCAAATGTTTATTTGCAGGGAATGTTTTCAAAACTTAATCCTTCAACCAACAAATGAACATATTTATTGCTGATTTGATATCCAGTTACCAAACTTGAAAAACTATTCTTAATATTTATATTTGGCCATCAGACGAATTCAGTTGTTTTCCATAGCAGTGATATCTGTAAATGTAGAAGAGATATAATTTTAGCAAACAGCTTCATATTAAAACTATTAAAATACTAATTCAGTACTTGTCACTTCCCTCTAGAGCAGTGATTCCCAAACTTTTTGCCATCCCCTTGCATACTAAAACACAACTCTGCCTCCCTATGTATAGTCAGGTTGTGATTGAATTTCCTTGGTGCACACATTGTACGTCAAATTAGTATTGTAGTATTTCCCATAATTGTTATATAAATGGGATAAACAGTAAAGTGAAAGCAAAATAAACTTCAAGTACACTGTGTGTGTGTGTGTGTGTGGTGTATCTTATGGTTCAGATGTGCCATTGATACTCTCTGGCTGTCTGCTTTTTTCTCAAAATCACCTCCCCTCTTTTCCACCACCCACTTTGAGAATCACTGCTCTGGAGCAAGATGATTCAAAATTCAAATCTAAAGTGTCTATTTAAAATGCTAAATTTATTAGAAAATATATTTAGTTTAAATACAGAAGGAGCCATAACAATAATGTGAAAAGACTGTAGAGTTCAGCTTATACTTTTTCCTGTTAACCAGGGGTTGTTGCCAGACAGAAAGTGAAATAGATACAGATGCCCATTTTAATTCCATTCAAATTGTGTGTGCATGTGTATACATGCATGAAAATTCCTCCTTGGAGGAGTTTCTAATGCAGGTTTATCATCTCTCAGTTACGTCTCTGTCTTTGGACAGCGTGCGCTCAGGGGCTTTTTTGTCAAAGGACAGAGGGGCAACTGAGAAAATAATGCTGAGAGGTGCCCAGCCCTGGGGAATGGCTGCCCAAGGCTGCACCCTTCCACTGCACCAGAGGGAGGGATCGGTGCTCGCACCAAGGCCAGCACAACCAACGGTTGAAGGGGCTGTGGGCAATTTTTGTCTCTTGCCCAGGTGGACACAAGTAAACACTGTGTGTGTGTGTGTGTGTGTGTGTGTGTGTGTGTGTGTGTATATACATGTATATTTCAAATTCAATGAGAGTCCTAAAAACATTTTTACAAAAAAAAAAAAAAAAAAAAAAAAAAAAAAAAAACACTAAAAATAATTCTATTTATTACCAAATAATTTCTGAAAATTATCTGATTATGTTAGGGTTTAAAAGTTTTTTTTTTTTCTTGTATCTAATGTTATGATTGTATTGCTCAGTCCAGGGTAGGGTCTGTTCAGACTGAGCAGGAGGGAAATGTAATATTACATTATCTTAATTCTGACTTAAATTGTTCATGTATATATTAAATGGCAGAAGTACATGCAAGTCACTTATGCGCAACACAGACATACCCATATATGTTATATTTATATATGCACACGCAAAGTCACATGGACAGACTGTTCTCATACCACTATGTCTAGTACTATTCAGTTATTGTTTACCTTGTTCTCACAGAGTCCAAGTACACACACCATGTGACATGGAATCAATGGCAATGCTCTGGCTGAATTTTGCCGAAATGAGTAGGAGAACCGCTATTTTTTATTGAATTACATTCTGCTTTTGAATGGAATAATTTTGATTTGGATACAGACTACTAATTAAATGAAGGTTACATCAAACCTTTTCTTCATTCTAATAAGGTTTTTGCCAAAAGTTGGCTGCTTTTGAATGGAATAGATTTTCGTTTGATAACTAATCAGAATAAACGCGCTGGCTATTCTAATAAAACTTTCAATTGATTTTCAAATCATGTCACAAGTCCCATAACTCAGTAGGGACACCATATGTACTGCAGCTATACCACCAATGGTGTATCTAGGACAAGAACTTGACAACACACATCTCTCTTCAGGTTCATTTTGAATTCACAGTTTCCCTTCTCTTAGACTGATTGCCACTCTAAGGGCAATAGAGCCAAATCTGTCCTGCTGGAGAAAGATGGATTCATGCCTTTTTAATGATATTAGCACAAAATGAACAAAACAGAATCTAGCATTAATTAAACTCAGCTCACCGATTACACCACAATCTACGCATCCATACTTTTATTGGAGAATTATTCAAATAGTAAATTTTGTTGCCGTCATTTGAAAACTTAAAAAGAAAAAAAAAAATGACTATTTTGATGTCATTACATTTACCTCTTAGTAGGTACCTCCAAAGAAAAGTGATACCTAAGGTTATGTAGTTATAAAAAATAAAAGATCTTTCTTGAAGCTTTTACTTTGGTTTTAATTTCAAGCTAATTAAATTTAATATTTCCAATAAGCCAAATACTTTCCTGTATTTCAAAACCAATTTAAATTGATTGCAATTATTTTTTTTTCAAGTCTCTAAAATCAGCCATATTAACAAATCTGTCAACACAATGTAATTCTCTTTATTAAAAGATCTTTCAAAAACAAAAATATACTTTTCTGAAACTTTATTTGAGGAAGATTAACTGATTTGAAGTTTAATTAACCTGAATTAAATTTTACATTTACTTTAAAATATCACAAAAAAATATGTTTTAAGCTGGAGGTGGGTGTTTTTATGAGGTATTGAGAGATAAAGTAAAGAAAATGTTAAATTAAATTTGCTTCAGCTATTTTTATTCTGTTACTTTATTTTTGGCAAATGTTTAAA